AAGCTTCCTGTTGGTTACAGCAGATGCCAGGAAGGCCAAGCCTGGAGCAGCACATCAGACAGTTTCCCACAGGGGAAAATCCTACCCCATAATTAGAGGCTAAACCTGTAAGCCTGGCCAGACATTTTGTAACCAGGAACATGTGAAGCCAGCTAATGTTTTCTGTTTCATTTCCTACTGCTTTAGAAAGGATACTGTCACTTGAAAGTTTGTGTCAGAAGCAGTCTTGAAAGGAGTCAGTTTCTAGAGCAAAGTAGTCAGGGGCCTCGGATGGAGAACAAGATGGAAAAGGATTCCCTCTGGGAAAGCAGAGAAATTAAAAGCAACAGAATCAGAAAAAAAAAGGAACCCTATGATTAAGGCAATCCAGAAGAAAATAGAGTCAAATTACTGTCCTATAGACAAAGGAAAGGTGTATGTCCTTGTATCTCTAAATTTAGGGATGAAAAATGAATTAGAATGATACCAACAGTGAACATCAGCCAGAGAAACCAGATCCTTTCTGCCCCCGCTGAGAACACTCTTGCAGCAAGCTCAGGACCCGCTCGCACGGATAAAGAAATGGAAAGCTGAGTGAAACTACCTGGGAATTGAAACCAAGATGAGGAGGGAACATCGTAATAGAAAATTATCTCACTCAGTGCTGGTGGGACTGGAAATCGTTACATTTCCGGAAAGCAGCTCGGCAATCTACTAAAGAAAATCCTTCAAAATGTGCATTACCTTTGGCACAGTGTCTGTGTTTGGGAGCATCTAAACCAAGAAAATGAGGCAAGTGGAGAATTGTGCAAGTGATGGAAGTATCTACAAAGATGAAAACAGTCAATTGGACAGAGACAGGAGAATCCATGATCTAGAGGGGTTATTTCGACTGCTACCTTTAACACCTGTCTTAAATATAAGAACATGCTCACATTATGTCAGTTTAAAAAAAAAAAAAGAACACAAATAGAGTTATTTGGAAGGAAACAGAATACTAATGACTAATGTTATTGTGAGGCAGTTCAATGAATTCATACTACCAAATTCACTAGTGAATCGGAATTACTTTTGTAATCACCAAAAAGTTACTTTGTAAAGGAAATTTAAAGCATATGAGCTACACACATACACACACACACCACTCATGCACGCACATGTGCACAAGCATATGTATGCACGCTAGAGAGATGGCTCAGCTGTTAAGAGCACCTGCTGCTTTTGCAGAAGGTCTGTTCCTAGCACCAGCAGAGCAACCCAGAACAACCTGTAACTCCAGTTCTGGAGGCTCTGGCACCCTCGTCTGCCCCCCCCCCCTGGTTTGGCACATACATGGTACACATAACTGCAAGCAAAAGACACGCTTAAGCCCAGAACATGCTTTCTATTGGCTGCTTTCAGACCAATCATCTAGAGCAGCCTAAACACCTAAAGACTTGGGTAGCAGTCACAAGGCTTACTCCTGACAACCTTGATAGAAGCGTGTTACTGTATGCCAAAGTCTTCCTTCCCTTTATCCCTGTCCCGGCACTCTTTTTCTTTACAAGCATCCCCGCCCCCTCCAATAAATTCCTTGCACATCAGTTCTCATTCTGGCATCTGCTTTCCTGAGGACAGAGACATTCCGTTCACCCACCTACAGAAAACCCAGTCATCAGACAATTCACCCACTTGTTGTGTGACAAGAACTTCCCTAGGGAGATACAACACATATGTCTCTTCAACCCAGACGAAGAGCCAACCACAGACCAAAGTGTGGATACCACCAAAGTCCAACTAGTGAACCAATGAGTTTTACTGTGGGTACTTATAGGAATAGGAGTGAAGGGCAACTTACAGGAGGAATGACTCACTGACAGCTACATTACCAAAGTCCACCCCAGCATAGGTAATACTTCTTAAAAGCTGAAAACCTGGTGCACATTGCACAACCTGTAAGCAGCTCAACAGGCTGAAGAATGTCCTTTCCAAGTGACTCAGTTGCTCTAAACCTCTTCTAGAGAGCTCCAACGGTTTATGATTTTTGCACACAGCTGGTGTGATCTTAGAGTCTGCTTTTGCAGCTTGGCTTGTCTGTGGATGACTCTCAGCAATCTTTATTGCTTATTCTGGGGAGGAGGGGCCTAGTAAATCTTGTCAGTTTCAGGGATTTCCTGAAGCATTGTGAGTTGTTTATCTTCTGTCTTAAGGAGCTTAAGTTCTGTTAAAGCTATCAGGAATAAGCTTCATTAGGCTTGAGGCTCCTCTGGGTGGTTGGTCGAGAATGGTTGGTTTCATTCTCAAAGGAAACTGCTACACAACACCATTCAAAAGATTAGGATGAATGTACAGTTAGCTGACTCCTTGACTATGAGACTTTTAAGGAACAATCTAGTTCAGTCAGGCCACACTCCTGACCTAACGCCAACTGCATTAAAGCAAGACGGTGTCTTTTTAGGTTAATTATGTTATTATTTTATATGTATGAGTGTTTTGCCTGCATGTATGTATGTGCACCACATGCACTCCTGATGCCCACAGAGGTCTGAAGAGGGTGTCAGGTTCCCTAGAATTGGAGTTACAGATAGCTGTGAGCTAATACATTGGTTCAGGGAATCAAACCTGGGTCCTCTGCAAAAAACAAGTACTCTGGCTTGCTGAGCCATCTCTCTAGACCACAAAAAGGTGCTTTTTAAGGCAGTAAATGCCCAGCAATTGGCAAAGCCGCAATGGGGAATTAATCAGAGGATATTTAGCAGTACATGTTTCATAGCAATAATCAGAGGAAGGTAAACCATCTTTCACCTCCATCCAATTCAGAAAGCCTAATAAACTAACTGCAAAAGCTTTCTTATCAGTTTATCTCATATCACCAGATGAATACATTCAAGAGTTCACAAATTACATCAAATATTATGCAAAGCAATCACTTACATTTCATAATAGCCTCTTTCTTTAAATCACAACTGTTTATGGCCAACTTGGTAATTTCCTATGATGTTGTTTTTAAACTACCATATAGGTGCTGTGCCTGGATTAGGAGCATAATTCTTAGAAGAAACAACTATTTCCACACTGTTAAATCTACACCTTCTATCAATATCATGGCATGGTGAGATGTTAATATTATAAAGCATTGCTCTTCTGAGGTATGCCTGCTCCCACAAGTAGAAAACAAAATGAGCCAAGTATGATGGCATAGGCCTATAATCCCCACACCCTGGAGGTAGAAGCAGATTATGAGTTCAAAGCCAGCCTTAACTACACAGGGAGACCCTGCCTCAAAAACAAAACATAACATAACAGAGCAAATCAAAATAAAAATAGGGCTAATGACTTCACTGTGAGCTACATATTACCGCAATAGACAGGTTTCCTAGAAAACAGATCACTGAAGTAAAGCTGTGTGTCACTGCTCATCTTCAAGTCCAGTCCCTGGACAGCAAAAGAGGAAAGTAAGAGTGTGAAGAACACGAGAGCAAGCACAAGGTAGGGCTCTGGTGAGCTGGCCTCAACACTGTGAGAAAGCACACCTGCTTTTGTCCTCATTCGGGACATCTGGACAAGCCACACGGGACACTAGCACCTTGCAATAGCCCGCTGCAGATTTTACTTGTCGGGTCTTTCCAATCAGCCCCCCACTGGTCAAAGGATGCCCTTTGCCTCTAGATGGTTGATTCCACTACACTGATGTGTTAGTATTACCATCCTCTACAGTCAGCTGCTGGGAAGTCAGAACTCATGCTAGCACCCCACATCTGAGCCTGGACAGGCCAGAAAGACCAAAGGGTGGGATTGCTGGAGTTCCCACCCAAGGGGCAGAGAGAGAACATGCAAAAGCAGAGCTGTCTCCCTGAAGGGTCTGGGACAGCGGGCAGTGGTAAGAGCTGAAGGGAAGGATGGCTGAGGGTTCTCCACCGAGCCAGTGGGTAGGAGGACCCAGAGACACACGGAGTTCGACAATCTGCCGAAGCATGTTAACTAAGACCCTATAGTTTGAAATCTGGTAGCTGGTACCGCACCTCACTTCCCTCCATGCTCTTATCTTGACAACTAGGTAATGGTGAATTCACCCTTCCCCCAGCGCTTCCCAGGGACAGCTACCTCTCTCCTTCCTTCATCCTCCTCCATTCTGGGCTCCTCCATCTGGTTTGTATTTGTTCCCAAACTTTTCTGTACACAGAGCTGTTTCTCTCTTGCTAATTTCTGTAACCTATTCTGGAAAACACACCCAGCGCCTGTGGGCTTCTGACTGCTCTGCTTTTCATTACTGAAAATTGCAGCACAGTTAAGCCAATAATGCCAAAAGTGTGTGTGTGTGTGTGTGTGTGTGTGTGTGTATGTGTGTGTGTGTATGTGTGTGTGTGTATGTGTGTGTGTGTTTTGTATGTATGAGTGTGCGTTTGTCTATGGTGTGTTTGTGTGTGTGAGAGAGAGATGTTTGTCTGTGTGTGAGACAGAGTATTGTGTGTTTGTGTGTGTTTGTCTATGATGTGTTTGTGTGTGTGTGAGAGAGATGTTTGTGTTTGTGTGTGTTTGTCTATGGTGTATTTATGTGTGGTATGTGTGCGTGTGTGTGTGTGTGTGTGTGTGTGTGTGTGTGTGTGTGTGTGTGAGAGAGAGAGAGAGAGAGAGAGAGAGAGAGAGAGAGAGAGAGAGTGATGCAGTCTCCTACAGAGTCTGAAAAGAGGCTTAAGACACACTTCATATAGTTGTGCCGTGTTTGGACAGCGATATGCCTGCATCTTTTGGAAAAAGAGTTAAAGACCTCAGCCTGAGTTCTAAGCCTTTTAATTTCAAAATGGAAAATATTTCTAAAATGGCTGCACTGAACCTTTATCTTCAGGGAACTAATCTTATGAGAAGCATGAAAAAGTTTTTAAATAGGCCATTAATAAATAAAAACATTTTCCCTCAGATAAATTGGTTGGACTTCTTTTGACATTTCTGGGATTCTTGCATTTATATTCAAAGTCATCAAAAAAAATTGTCCTCAAGTAACCACACAATCACTCCTTGTGGCTTTTCTCTTCCTTCCTCAGGATAAGTTTTCTCTTCAGACTTTTGGCTGACTTGCTGCCATTAGCACAACTGAAGTTTGTACCCCAGAAAAAGTAGCAATAAGTAGCAATGCTCTGCTCCCCTGTTTTCAGCCTGAGCAGGAAAGGACCGTTTACAGATTGATCTCCTCATCAAAGAACCATGTCACCCAATCTCTCTGCTCTGCAACCTGCCACAAGATTGATGGTAAATATAATATGTATGAAAATGAAGAAGGAAAATATATGCAGGGCTCCAACGATGGTTCGGGGGCTGGAGATGGGGCTGTGCAGTTCATCATTTGGGTGGAATTTCTCATTTTCAGGACATTGACTCTAAAATCACTGCAGTCACTGTGTTCAATGCCTCTGTGTTAGGATTCCGGGGGTTTAAAAAAAATTATTTGAAGCCAGAAAAAGCAAGGCTGACTTATTTGGACCTGTGCTGTAGTGTGACCAAAAAAAAAAAAAAAAAAATGCAAGGAAATAAATGCTGAGAGAATGTGGAGGTGGGGGATGGGACTGGAGTGGGGCATAGACTTACAGAGAGCTTTATACTCCGTTCGTTAGAATACCAAGTAGGTTGCTAAGGAAGGAGAGAATATAGTACAACAGGCAACTAATGAAGCCAAGGTTCTGAAGCCCCAGGAAGGATCTGAGAGAGAAACCTAGTACCTTAATCATAGGGGCTTTCATAAGGGCAAGTTTTATTTAGCCAAATGCTTTAAGATTGCTGTCTTTTGGTACTCCGATTTCCTTTCCGTATTGGGTGGCATTAAATAGCCCATTGATTTGTGGAGTACCCGACTAGGAGACAGTTGAGCTGAGGATGTAAGTCCCTTATGGTTAGTAAGAAAGTGGCATGTGTGGTTCTCTGCCACTGTGTCTCTCAGTGTTGCTAGTACCCCAGTGGAACAATGGCTTCCGAGAGCACTCCCGTGGCTCCTGAGCAGCACAGAGGGCCACAGCAAGGACACACACTGCTTTGCAATGTCCTTGAACTTAGTGCCAGGCACCAGTGGAGGCCAAAGGACAGGCTTGGAAGGTACAAAGCCAGGAACTAATCTACAGACAAGTCTTGTGCTGTGGGATATCTTTCTATATGCTGTGAATATGTGTTGCTCTGATTGGTTGATAAATAAAGCTGCAGTGGCCTATGGCAGAGCAGGATGGAGCCAGGCAGGAAAATCCAAGGGAGATAGTGAAAGGAGAAAGGAAAGGTGGGGGAGATGCCATCCCACCATCTGGGGAGCAGCATGTAATGGCACACGGGTAAAGCCACGGAACATGTGGTGACATATAGATTAATAGAAATGGGCTGAGTTTAGTTATAAGAGCTAGCTAGCAAGAAGCTTGAGCAAAAGGCCATGGCCATACTGTTTATAATTAATATAAGCCTCTGTGTGCTTATTTGGGTCTGAGTGGCTGCAGGAGCAGGCAGGACACTGGAAAACTTTGGACTACAGTCTTGTAGTCAAGAGATCTACTAAAACAAGGGGTTAAAATTTCGAGATTATCGGTGCTTTGACAAACTGAATGCTTTCTCCCAAGTAGAAATTTTCCCAACTTTGAAAAAATTCTTAAATATTCTTAAATTCTTAGACCAAACAAGCATGATACTAAAAAAAAAAAAAAAAAAAAAAAAAAAAAAAAAAAAAAAAAAAAAAAATTCTAATGAAAAATAAAAAACATGATAGACTAACAATTATCTATTTTCTGTAGGAAGGATATATTATAGCTTTTTTTAACCCTATATATTGCTTATATGTTATGTTTTTCAATATTGTGTTTTTAGGGGATTTCTGTGAGTGAACGTGCTACATTGAACATCCATACTGATGCCCTGGCCTCTGAGCATTCTTCATCTCCTGGACCTAACAGCTTTCACTTGTGGATCCCTCTGTCACCCTTGGCCATGATGACATCTTCTTTACTGTCTTCATGTGGAAACTACTCCATCTCCAAAAGCATCAGTTCCCAAGACTGCCTCAATCCAATGTGCCTTTTTCTCTTTTCCTTTATTTTTCTCCTGCTGCTGCTGCTGCTGCTGCTGCTGCTGCTGTTGTTCGTGCAGCCTTGGTACAGGGAGGAGGGGCTTGGACCTGCCTCAATGGAGTATACTGGGCTCTGCTGACTCCCCATGGGAGACCTTGCCTTGGAGGAGGTGGGAATGGGGGGTGGGAGGAGAGAGGACAGGGGAATCTGTGGTTGATATGTAAAATGAATAGAAAATCTTTTAATAAAAAAAAATCTCAAAACGTGCCCAATATCCTTATCAATTAGGAAATTATAAATTAAAACTATTGCTGGGCAGTGGTGGAGCACACCTTTAATCACAGCACTTGGGAGGCAGAGTCAGGCAGATCTCTGTGAGTTTGAGGTCAACCTGGTCTACAGAGCAAGTTTCAGGACAGCCGATGTTGTTACACAGAGAAACCCTGTCACAAAAAAATTTTAAAAAAAATTAAAATTAAAACTATTATGAGATTTCATCTTACGTCAAAATGGGTAAGATCAAGAAAAGAACTGGCAAGTACTGGTGAGGATGAGGAGAGAGGGAATTCACTGTTGGTGGGACTGCAAACTGGTAAGGCCACTATGCAAATCAGTGTGGAGAATTTTTCAAAAAAGCTAGAAAGAGACTTACCATATGTTGTGGAATAGAATATTTGTTTAACTATGTAAAGATGTGTTGCATTTTGTTTAACTATGTAAAAGTGTGTTTGCACTGCAGAATAATTGTTTAACTGTATAAAGATGTGTTGTACTTGTTTATCCTGCATTTAATTACATAAAGGTATGTTGCTTTTGTTTATGCTGAATTTGTTCAACTGTGTAAAGATGTGTTGCTGCTTCACCTTGCCTGCCTAAGGCACCTGACTGACCTAAAAAAAAAAGCTCACCAGCCAATAGCTAGGCAGAGGAGGGATAAGTAGCAGGCAGAGAGAAAAGAGGAGCCAGCCAGCCAGCCAGGGCCCAGACAGACAGACACGGAGGAAGCAGGAAAGCAGGATGGACGGTATGTAGATGAGGTAAACGAGCCTCAGGGCAGCACATATGAAGTTAAAAGAGCTAGCTGGCCTAAGCAAAGGCCGAGCATTCATAACTAAAACTAAGTCTCTGTGTCATGATTTGGGAGCTGGCAGTCCAAGAAAGCCTGCTGCAACCATATGACCCAGCTATAGCATGCCTGGGCATATGCCCAAAGATCTTACTGCCCAAAGATCTTACTGCCCTAAGATTCAGATGTTGCTCATCTGTGTTCATTGCTGCTCTATTTACAATAGCCAGGAAGTGAAAACAATGTAAATGTCCTTCAACTGATGAATGGGTAATGAAAATGTGGTACCTATACCATGGAATACTATTCATCTGTTTTTAAAAAATGAAATCAAGAATTTTGCAGGAAGATTGATGAAACTGAAAAATATCATACTGAGCAAAGTAACCCAGACCCAGAAAGACAAATGCCAAATGCCACATGTTCTTGCTTATTTATGGCTCCCAGCTCTGAATCTTTAGATTGGAATATATAACCTGAGGTAACCACAGAAGTCAGGAAAGTAGAAAGGGAACATGGAGTGGGAGGAACCATTTGTTCAATTTTTATGACTGCTGCCAAGAAGCTTTCAGAAAGTCTGAGACTGGGGGATAAAGCTCAGTGGTAAAGCATTTGCCTAGCATACGCAATACCCAGGCTTCAAATCCTAGCAGCGCGCGCGCGCGCGCACACACACACACACACACAAATAATTCACATTTCTACCAATAAAGTGAAATGAGGAATCGCTCCCCCTGCCTCCTCTACAGGAAAGATGTTATTGCACTTCCTAGTCCTTTCAAGTCTAGAGCGTATGCTTGATACCTGACTGTTCACCCTGATTTTCATCTCCCTAACTACTAGGTTTTGTTCTTCAGTGTGTCACCTCTTCCCATTCCCAACCACATGTGAGGGGCAAGCCATTTCCTTCTCTTGGATTCTCACTCCTGCTTGTATATTAGAAATAGTCACCCCTTGCCATGCTGTGGAATTTTCTTTTCTAGCTCCTCCATCCCCTAACTTGTGTGGTTGTCACAATTAGATCATCTATAATTTATGGTGGTTTCAGGCTTTCTTGGGCTGGTTATAATGGCCTATTCTCTCCTAATCTTTGGTTACTTATAATCACTTAGATTTTCTTCTGTAATATTAACATACTGCTTACATTTAAATTTTCAAGCATCTTGTCATTTATAGTCATAATTTTCATGAAAGATTTCAACTTTTTACAGAAGGATAGTAAACTGGCTTAATAATTACCTCACTCGTTCCCAACTACACTGAAGTACCACTTTTGCTACATAATAATTGCTCACATATGCTAAAATATACCCTAGATCTATATTCTTCTGATTTGTTTATTCTGTGTCAATACCATATTATGAGATTTTTTTTATAGTGGCTTTATAGAGTATATTTATATCTAATAATAAAAGTATCTACTATTTTTTTCTTCATACTTCTTTATTTTTCTCGCCATTTCCAGAAGGCATTTATTTTTACATGGATTTCACATGTTTTTATCCAAGAAAGAATAGTTGGAATCTATTGGTGTTATGATAGACTTATAAAATGGCTTTAGGCAATTCTAGATGTTTAGATGACTCTCTGGCTAGAACTTTGGCATGAGCCCCTATGTGTCTGAATTTATTTCATACTCCTCATAAGGAGATTAATCTTCCTTACTAACAAATATTTCATAGTTTTGTATAATTGTTTATCATGTTATTATGTTGAATAAAACACTGCCCTCCATTTCCATTTCTAGGTATAGTTTTTAGTATATAGAGGGGGGAAAAAAAGCTTTTCACTTTAAATTATTATTGATCCAGCCGTCTTACAAAAACTAATTTATTCTTAAGAATTTGTATTTGTGTCTCCATGGTTTTCTGGGTGTGCTATTAAATCATTAGCCAAAACAGGAGAGTGTCATCCATCACAATTATCTAGCACTGAACGCTATGTTGCAGATATTTCATAAATGTTGTAAGGACGGATGAACAGCAGAATTGATGGATCAATAAATGAGGTGGATCAGAGATCATTCACATGGAGCATCAGGGCTTTGTTACTGTTTGGATGAGAAAGTCCACCATAGGCTCATGTAGCTGGTCTGCTTTTGGTCGGCAGTTGACAGTGCTGTTTGAGGAGGTTATGGAACCTTTAAAGCTGCAGCCTTGCTGAAGAAGTTTGTCTCTGGGGGTGGGATTCAGGGTTTATATGCTCGTACCACTTTCTGCTTGCTCTCTCTGCTTCCTGTATACTGTTAATATGTGATCAGCCAACTCTGCTGCAATGCGTTCTCTGTCATCATAGACTCTAGCCCTCTGGAGCTGTAAGCCAGAACAAACCCTTCCTTCCTCCAGAGGTTTTTGACCAGAGTGTTTTATCACTACACAAAACACAACTAATACAGCTCTTAGTATCACAGCATCTCTCACTCTGGTGATTCCTGCTCTTCTGTGGAACACCAGTCATTGCCTTGGTCACAACCGCAGACATTTCCAAATCTAGTAAGGGGAGGTGAACACATGTAATGGCTAAAGAGAACATGTTCCTAATAAGCTAAAGATCGTCCTAAGTGAACTGTGTTGAGTGCTCTTTGAGTTCTTTTCATTTGAACAAAACCAGTCAGGGAGGGTTTCTATCCTGACCAAGAAGGAAGCAAAAAGCTGTGGAGGACTTGAATGAATTTGATGACTAACGCTTTCACTGGATTTGAAGAAGACACCACATGGTTTGTTAGCAGCAGCATCTCAATGAAGGGTTCAGAAGCACTGAGCAAAGCAAAACGAAAATACAACAACAGTCCCCACCACCAAGACAATATCAGTACAGAAAGTGGGTGGCCATGGGGACAGTAAAGGTGGTAGTAGAGGTTCATTGTAGTCTTGGCTCATACTTTACCTCTCACTTGGTAAGACCTCACAAATCCTGCAGAGTTGAACTGAGATCATGCACCCACCCTGAGACAGTCACTCATAAGAAGGGCCAAGCACTGGGTCTACGATCTCAACCACAACCTTTCACCTATGGTAGCTATCAGACTGGGAGGCATAATTCAGCTCTGATGGAATTTGCCATTGTCTCTGCTGCATACATGAAAGTCCAACTCAGCAAGGTGTCAATCTGAATCAGAAGTAATAAATAAGCCCCAAATGCTAGGGGCTTATAACTGATGTCCTAAGAACATTTCTTCTTCCTAGAAGAGTTTTCTCAAAAAAGAAAAAAAAAACCCATAGTAGTTCCCTGCTCTTTCACAAAGTAAAAATACACATACACACATTTATGAATGTGCATGAAGAGGTAACCCTTTGAGAAACACCTTTGTTTCCAAGAACAGATATTATGAACACCAGGTTGGAGGGCATGAAAGTGTTCCCCATAAATCGCCATCAGGAACACCCTGTACTAGGACAGCAAGGAGGAAAGGGCTTGTCCAAGCGGTAGAAATCAAACCAAACTCTGGCACAGACTACAAAGATGGTTCTCCGAAGGCTGACCAAACTGTTCTTCCAGGGAAAACAAAATGTTTCTATGAGCATCTAAAGGAAAACCCCTAGGGGGGCAGATAGAGTATCAGCTCAGTAATTGGCTAGCTAATCTGAAGCACTACATCCAAGCCAAAACCTCAGAGCCAAATGAGGAGGAGCAGCTTCCAGGCACAGCCCTGGCTGCTGGGGTGGTCTGCTGCTTTGAAGCATCTCTTCACATTTTTAGCTGATGAAAGGTTTATAAGGAAAACGTAGCACACTAAGTAAATCCAGTTTTTCAAACACACGCGTGCACTGGCGATGTGGCTCAAGCCTTTCATTTGCTTTGTGCAACAGCTGCTGCCCTGGTGTGACCATGCCCCTTGCTCACGAGGCCAGTCTGAAGTGTTCTCGCCCTTTCTCTGTAAGGCTCTCTGTATCAGCCTCATCCCCTCAGAGTCTATTAGACTTTTACAGTCTCTTCCTGGGGCCTAGCCATGCTTTAATTCTTTTGATGACAATGAGGGACTCTGAAGACACTGAGACTATCTTCTCAAGGACTTTCCTGTGACCCTAATTCCTAATCAAACATAATGCTAGGAATAACCCGTTGCTGCCCACCTTGCCACCCAGCCTGGCAGTGAGAGCTCCAGTCATCTAAACAGTACTAGAGCTGACATTCGTCAAATCAAAAAGGTAGGTAGGTCCAGCAAACAGAAGGAGGCTCATTACCCTCTATGGCAGAATTATAACTTCAAATTGATGAAAAACCTTATAGCCGACTCTCTTTTATGTACAGGTTTTATATTCATGGACTCAATCAAACTTGGGTCAAAATTATTCAGAAAAAACAAACAAACATGGGATTATGTGCCTATACCCAGCACTCAGGAGTCTGAGGCAGGAGAATCAGGAGTTCAAGGCCAGTCTGAATTACATGGTGAGGACTTGTTTCAGAACAAAGATTATAAAGAATGTATCTTTACTGAGCTTGTATAGATTTGCTCTTTTGTAAATCCCTAAGTAATACAGCATAACAGCTTACACTATATATTATGTATTGTAAATAATCTGTAGGTGTTTGGAAATGTATGGAGGGTATGTATAAGTTATATGGAAATACCAAACAGCTTTATGTAAGTAATTTGAACATCTGCAGATTTTGGTATCCATGGCAGGTGAGTGTAGCTAGTGGTTTTTCTCTCCGAGTCCCGCCAATCCCCGGCAGTCCTGTAGCCATAAACATACAGATGCTTATATTATTTAAACTGCTCGGCCATTAGCTGAGGCCTACCATTGTCTAGCTCTT